ATCAGTAGGGTGTTGGTAGGGCATCAGTAGGGTGTTGGTAGGGCATCAGTAGGGTATTGGTAGGGCAGCAGAAGGGTGTTGGTAGAGTATCAGTAGGGTGTTGGTAGAGTATCAGTAGGGTGTTGGTAGGATATCAGTAGGGTGTTAGTAGGATATCAGTAGGGTGTTGGTAGGATATCAGTAGGGTGTTGGTAGAGTATCAGTAGGGTGTTGGTAGAGTATCAGTAGGGTGTTGGTAGGGTATCAGTAGGGTGTTGTAGCTCAACCGTGACATCATAAAAACGAAGACAAAGGCAAAATTCAGACAAACAAACTTACAAGTTTACTTTCAGCAGATACTTTTCACAGCCGATCGCAGTTGATCTTAGTTTACATGGGTTATTATTGTAACTTTAAGTAAAAATAATAAAATCGGTTCGTATAATCCTCGTAGTGGTTAAACGGAATGCAATGTTTGTCCGAATCTTTAAGCTATTTTTAGAATCAGTGAGCTGCGCTATTGGGAATTGTATTCTATACTATTATGTATTTATCTTTTCCACATGAACTCAAATGGTTACTTGGTTTGTCAGGTTTTCCGTGAAACTAAAGTCAATGGATTTGACCCTAGTCTGTATGAAACCAACCAAGTGTTTTACAACAGCAAAGATGGTACACAAATACCTATGTTTATTGTCCACAAAAAGGTAATGCATACGTAAAGAAGTACTTACCGGCGTTTGCATTTCTACGCGGCCACCCCAGACAAAAATCGTGACGTGCAATTTGCAATAGACTGCTGTCAATCAAACATGATGACGCCATTTACACGCGTGTGTGATCCAAAAGGCGCCAAAACTTGTCGATTGTTTACAAGTATTACATGAGCCACACTCACCGGGCCTATTCGGGCCGATTCAAACACCTGTAAATGACGTCAACTTGTTTGATTGACGGCAATCTATTGCAAAGTGCACATCTTGATTTTTTTCTGGGGTGGCAGCATAGCAATGCAAACGGCAGTAAAGGGGCACTTGGATAAAAATGGATAAAAATTGGAAATGACTTTAAACTTAGTTAAACGTATCCATATGGCCCCAATAGTAGCCAGGCAACATATTTTCTTCACAGTAAAATGTGTTGGATAAGAATTATCAATTTTATTTAGCATATAAATTGTGAGTAAATGACGTCATTTACTCAACCCTATTGTTCATTTCTCTTTTAACCCAAAATATCTCAATAGCAAGTGGCTCAGCTCCCAGGCTAAATTTTCACTAATTTGGTTTACATAATCATAATTGGGTCAAATTATCCTCAAATACTTCAATTATTCGGACTTTGAAAAATTGGGGCGTTTTCATCCAAGTGCCCCTTTAAGCAAAAGATACATGCCAAAGGTATGTTATACATTGTCCTGGGGGGGGGGGGGTACTCCACTATATTGGCTATATGGGTATGTGCCGCCAAACAGGATATGGTTTTCAGCGATTCTACTCTGGAACAGGGTATATAAAATCGCACTTGCCTCTCTGGAACAGGGTTTTCAGCAATCTTGCTCTGGAACAGGGTATGAATTTCAGCAATTTTTACTCTGGAACAGGGTCAGAGTTCAGAGGGCTTAGCGGCACATCCATACCCTAAATGGGCAAGAGTACCCCCCCGGTACATTATCATGGCAATGTGTCCAAGGGTGATAGGACAGACGGATTGGGTAATAAATATGTGTATTTGTTTAAATACTAAATAAATATAGTTTCGATGTAGTAATGTATTTCAGGCCCTATGGGACGATTTCATTCTTTCCTTGAATAGAAAGACCAAACTGACAGATCCCTCTTAATGATTTTACTTTAAATTGTTTTAACGATACATGTTTTATATTGATTTATAAAAATATTTGAGAAATAACATCCTTGGTCTTGATAATTTACAATATCATGCTATTACCTCATAGACACAAGCACTCATGTTTTATATACTTATTTCAATAAAGTTAGTCATCAAAAACCTAGAAAGCTGTGATCGCTGAGAATCATGGGAAATATTTTATATCCAACAAGTAAAGCTTTTGACACAAACTGCAGCAGTGAGGATGCTCAGAGGAGGTTAACTTGTAACTGGTAGAAGATCTCAAGTCCATCAACAGTTATATAGCAGTTAAAACATGTAAAATATATCTACCCATAATCCTTGTTGGTCTCAGCTTTGTAGCTTTTCAGGTGACTAACTTTATTGAAATAAGTGTATATTCCTTAATGCTTACTTGTGTAAAACTGTTTTTAGGGCATAACAATGGACTCAAATAATGCTGTTTTTCTGTATGGCTATGGGGGATTTAATATCTCCATTACACCTTCATTCAGTGTGACACGAATTATGTTTATCCATCACCTTGGTGGTATTCTCGCCATTGCAAACATCAGAGGAGGAGGGTAAGTAAGAATAATAATAAGAATAATGATAAGAATAATAATGATGATGATGATGATGATGATGATTATAACAATAATAATAATAATAAACAATATTTATTCAGGAATGCTTAAGTCACATACTTGTTTTAAATTAGGATACTGTAAATAACGTAAAAGACTAAAAATAATAAATAAGAACTATAAATACAAAAATATAATATATAATAATACTAAAAATATAATATACACAAAAATACTAAGACAAAACTAAGACAAAGACCTTCCTCTAGCCATCCTGGGACAAAGAATTAAACGTTTCTAATTAGCTTAGAATAGCTATCTACACACATTTTTACATCAAGAAACTACATAGTGAACAGTGAAAGTACATATTACACTGATTCAGAATGCAATATTGGCCACCAATTCATTGTATTTTTATTATCAAACACTACTGACATTACARTATTATAGATTAGGTGAGAATGATAATAACAAAGCTAGAAAAGGTAGAAAATGTATTTAAGGTTAGCGTAGGAATATTACATTCTAAAGAAGTCATGAAAATTAATCATTTGAAAAACACCAGAATAAGGCTAGGCAGTCATCAGTAGTAGTATAGGGAATGGGGGTTCCAGCGCAATCTCAACACGGGCAAGACCCGTGTCAAAAATCCACCTACGGAAACAACCCACTCCAAGTGTGGTTGGGGGCAACAGCGCAAATATGTTAGTCTATATATGGAGTGCGAAGATTGTAAGAGA